GTGTACAACAGAAAAAGTTCCGCGAATGAGACAGCAGGTGTGCTTGCTATTTAGCAGGCGTATGTGCAGCGCTCAGCAGGTGCACTTGAGCGGGTGCACTTACCGTATGGCAGCGCTTGCCATTTGGAAGGCATGTGGGCCGTGCTTAGCGGGTGCACTTGTGTGAGTCACTTCTTATTTGGCAGGCGTGTCCACAGAGCTGAGCGAGTGCACTTGAGCGGGTATGATTGCTATTTGGCAGGCGTGTGTGCCGGCGTGTTCGCAGCGCTGCGCGGATGCAGTTGAGCGGGCGCGCTGGCCATTTGGCAGGCGTGTGCTCAGTGCTATGCGAGTGCACTTCAGCGAGTGCCGTGCGCTTCCCATTTGGCAGGCGCGCATGCAGCGCTAGGGCGTGTGCCAGTGCTGAGATTGTGCATTTGAGGTGTGCTTTCCATTCGGCAGACGTTTGCGCTGAGCGGGTGCACTTAAGCGTTCCTCGCAATGCTATGGGACAACCACGGGGTTGATGCCAAGCAATTTGATCGCTGCAGGGCAAAATGGGCAAACAATTTCCTGGCACGAGTTGAAGTCTTTTGTTTCGGGGTCGCGACGCACGGGTCGACCGTTGATTGCAGCTGCGGCCTCGAGGAAAGCAGCGGGAGCGCTGATTCCTTAGACCTGCCAGGCAGGTGCTGTGTGGCTAGGGGTCAACCATGGTGAAACTAACGTGCACGAAAACAAATTGAGGGCGTGGTCCGAGTTTAAATCTTTCACGCATTTCCAATGGGAAGCATTTGCAATCCGTTGTGCGTGCAGGTTCGTTTGGTTGACCAATCACGTGGCCGAGCGTCCTTGGCAGACGGTTTTCCTAGCTATCCTGCCCTCTCACATGGAACCTGTTTGAAAGATCTTGGCAAGTCTCGCTTAGACAGGTTGAGCCCAGGATTGTTCAGGAGTGTATTTCAGATGTGTGTGCGTTCTGTAGTTTGTTTTGTTTTGTTTTGTGGTGCGGTGTGGTGCGGTGTGGTGTGGTGTGGTGTGGTGTGTGTGTGTGTGCGCGTGTGTGTATTTTGCCCCCAGGTCCATTTTAGAATTGTTGAGGGTGGGTTTAGGGGCCCATTTAGAACAACCCAGCAACTACCCTCAAAAAGTGGGTGCCCTCATGTTGCCACACATGTGTTCTTGAACGGCTTACTCAGTACTCACTCCTCCAAGCCCACCTTCAAATCCAAGCTCCTGAGTGAAGAGTGCAACTTGCATTTTCCATTACTTTCCAGTCAGAGCGCACCAGTGCCCTGGACGCACAGGTACAGGTGCGACGGGTACCACGGAGCGCCCTGCTGTGGAGCCTTCGGCGGCGGTTGGTGCCGTTTTTGAGCAAGTACCGGTCAGTCACCCATGGCAAGCAAAGGGGGGTGACATTGGGCACAGTCGCCAAAGTCGAACATGCGTTTTCTGCTCACCAAAATCCAATGTCAGCTGGGGACTGATCCGTTACATTTTTTGGGTGCGGCCTCGCAAGGAGATTTGTTTGGTGACCTCACCAGCAATGAGGGTCATCTGTTTCTTGCCTGCTCCTGTGCTTCGAAGCGCAACATGATAAGCACCCGCATTCTTTTGATTCCACGCGTCACCTGATCAGCACCCGCCACTTAAGCGCACACAGAAAGGCCTCCCCGGAAGACAATTTCCTGTAAGATGGGCAGCGAAAACCCGAGGCCAAGGCCAAAGCGGTGCCACCCCTGCCCACGCTGCAGACCCGAAAGCTGGAGGAGGCTGACGAGGCACCTTCCAGGGGTCGACTCAAAATCCGCTACGCGCCAGTTGGGACGGATATGGGACGGTTGAAGCCCAAGTACGCGGAAAACAAAGAATCGGTGTAGGATTCTGTGCGCAGCAGGTCCACCCTGTGGCAATTTTTTGAGGTCCACCTAAGTCCACCCTTTTTCAAATGGTCCATTCCAAAATGGGTTTCAACTGTTTCTGTGGACGGTCCAGTCAAAACTGGCCACCCTCCGGATTGATAAGTTCGCGCGATGTGAAAGTGGGTGCCGACTGACGAATGGATCCTCGCCATTGAACTCTCCACATGGCTTATGCGATTTCACAATGAAACTCAGTTTGCTCACGCTCTTTTTGCTGCATCACCCCTTGGCGACATGTGACGTGTGGTCACCCAATCCAGTTCCAAAATGTTCCCAAACGGCTCAGCTGGGTGATGGGTTGTATGAAAATTATGGCAAGCTAAACCATCACTGGCGACATCGAAACGCTCAGTGGCGACTTCAGGAACGAGCTAGCAACATTGGCGTTTTACTGTTCGCTGCTTGTCTCGGAACTTCCCACATCGCGCCGTGTTTGGCGCGTTCGCGTGGCACAGTCATGCACAACTCCTAGTTCGGCGGATTTCACCTAAATCCCTTCGCTGGTTGTTAGGCTATTTTGCGGGTTCCCAATTAGACAAGGTGAACAGTGGAGCATCGAACTGGTTGCAACTGGGGTTTGGCCCAAAGCGGTGACCTGGCTGAGGTGTACTCCGACATCTCTGAGGATATTCCGGAAAGCTCCCGCAGCACTTGACACCATTTGGTCAGCCCCCCTTTGGATCTAAGATGGCTTCCTCCACCGCTCCACCCCCAACCATTGGGACCCAGAGGAAAGCTGGGTATTTGCCGATCCTACACTGCCCTGCGGGTAGTGGAAACCCTCCTTGGCAGAGCAAGTTCTTTGTTTCAGCCCAGTCAAAGGCCCGCACTGAACAAAACTCAACTAACCAGTCAACACAAGGCAAACATTTCGCAGGGTGCTGTCTAGGTTCCTGCCCTCAAGCATGCTGCATCTTCTGGAGGAGTATGGGCATTGCAGTTCAATGGCCGATGTGGGAGGGGATGAACTGAAAGTTTCTGTCTACTTCTTTGGGGAGGTGGTGCATACTTTTGGTATTCAAGAGCATCATGGAATTCAAGTTGTTGTTCTACATGTGCATTGCGCATAGGAGCTGTTGAGACAACAGGCTGAATCCCCCAGAAAAAAGAAAAAAGAAAAAACAACAGCAACAATAACACAGAAGATTGCACGACCATTCAGGTGGAAACATGTCCATTCAGAGTACATGGCATACGTGCCCTGAATATTGTGCTCGGCTTTTCCTTAAACTTAAAGGCCGCCAAAGACACCCAACGGCCACACCTGTCCTGCCAACGCGTGCCTCACTTTTTTGTTCATTGCCCTCTTTCCATATAATCATCAAGGCATTCAGGATTTCGCTGTGCTAGACCTCGCTAGTTTTTGATATGCAAATGGTTCTCAATTGTTTGGGGGCAAGGAGGAAAACGGGAAACGGACCCGATTATTGAACATGTGTGGTGGCTGGTTGAATTGCATGTTCCAACCTTTCAAGCGCGTGCTTTGGCACGGCACAATCGGGTGCTTGTGGCGCTTTCTGCGAACGCGCCTAGCTTTCTGCGAGCTCGCCAAGGGCACAGGGGTTGGAAAGGGAACACCCTCCAAACAAGGTTGGCGGGCAGAATTCCCCATGCACATGTCGCCCACCAAAGTCTCCCCCGTTGGTAAGTCATCAGGAAAGTCCCTAAATTGAATTTCATATCCAGAAGTTCGCTAACTACCTTGCGAACCTCCGACTGGCGTTGCTGGCCATCAGAGTCGAGCAGTGGCCTTTCGCCCGATAGGCCGTATTGACTGATGTGTTTTGATCTTCCACGCAAACACACTAACCGCACACATGTTAGCAGTGGTTAGGGTGCAAGCTTGAGGATGGACGCTGTTTGCCGGGAAATATGTGTTGCTTGGAGACGATGCCATCGGGCATTGGTCACTGCTTATAGGTCTAATTGTGAGTAGCTTAACGTATCCCAGAGGGAACGCCGACAAAGTCATGCCGTGTGCGGTCAAGGGCTAGAACCTTACTGGTCAAGAGACTGAATTGCATGCCCCTGGGCAAGCCCCAACCATAGACCCTCGTGTCCCTTACACGCCCCAGACAGAGTGTTGGGACCCCAGTTGAACGGGCACAAGGACACAAATCTACTGTTTGTGACCTCAACCAATATTAAGCGAGGGTGATGCACATCTAGAAAGTGTCGCTGTTTTGCGCGTAGGTGAGCGGAGGATGCTGTAAACGTGTGCAAGGGTGGGGATGTCACGCGGGTATCGTTTTTCTGTCAGAGTGTTGCACAGGCGCACCCTTTCGCACGCCTCTTACAACAAGAGCCAATGTCCAGACTATACTATCAGACATCTGGGAAGAGTCGTAAATTGTGGGTACCTACCGGGATATCGGCACCTGATCATTCTTTCAAAGGAATACCCACATTGGATGAAGCGGTTTCGACAAGCTGTGGCTGGTTGCCCCCTTGCCTCCAGCTCTGTTGACTTCAGCCCTTCCGGCTGCCCATTCACCTTGAACGCTTGGACCGCAGTATGCCAGTGTCAGCCGCCTAACCGCACATGGGCCAACCTTGGCGTTCCAGTCAATGTCAGGTGCTGGAAAAGGAGCGGCGCGCACGAATGCAAGTTTGGGCCATGTACCGAGCCCCCCCGATTTCCAATGTTGCTTGTAGTTCTCACCAGTTGAGCCATGTGAGTTTCCTCCGTTGAATGGAATATACGCAACCTTGCTGACTGGAACACCAATTCCTGCGCATGGACTTGGCCTTGCACGTGGACTCAGGGTGGCTTCCGGGAAGGTGGTTGTCTGAAAAGCGTGGATGCAAGGTATGCGTTAGAGCTTCTCGGGCCCTGTCAAGACCAAAGCACTGTCTTCCTTTGGGCTAACAGGGGAGTGGTATGGCGGATGGTAAATTGGCAATGTGTTGGTTGAGAGAACGTTTTGGACATTTGCTGCTTTAGATTTGGTTCAGTACTGGCTGATGCTAATTTAGCATTGAGAAATGTGGGGTTCTTGGGAAAACATATTCATGGATAGGGCGCATTTACCAAGGAAGGGATTCCCCGGGTTGCACACTTCCTGTGGCAACGGGTCCGTTTTCAACGAGCCGCAGGCTGGGTGCGCGCCCTCGAAGTGCTTGGAAGACTTCGACGCCCACACCGAGGCCAGTGGCACCCAGGGATTCTCCAACAGTGAACCCCCACTAAAGACAATTGGACACCCAGGGCCCCATCAAAATCAATCGGGTTAAGCTGACTCCCTGGTTCCCATTACCTGGATTCTGACCCCTTATTTTGACCCCATTTTTGAGTCATGGAGCCCCCAGGTAGCTTTCTACTTGTGAAACAGAAAACGTTGTTTGGCTTTGTGTCAAGGAGGAAACGGATTTGGCTGTTGAAAAAAGATTGGGAATCCCGACCCTCGTGTCACCCGTTTCCTTTTGGTGTTTGGTGGGTTCTGCATTTCAGCCTGGCTGCATGAGAGAAGGCACTCCGCTGCCATGCTGACGTGATGGAATTTTGCCCAGGTCTTCTGCGTTTGGTGCGCGGGTGATCTTGTGACTTGCTAAGGTGATTGAATGATAAAGTCATGTGGGTTAGTCTGCGGGCTCAGCGACCGGCTTCCAACCGAGGAAGTCGTCGTTGAGACTCGGTGCACCCTTGCCGCGCCAGATTTATGCGCCCTTGGCCGTGCTGGGGCTTTGGAACCCTAAGGCCGGGGCCTTGGTGGCGGATCAAAGCATCACTTTGGCACCAGCTCCTTTGGTGCCTTTGACATTTGGCGTCAAAATGCCTCCGTGAGGCCGATAATTTCCCTTGCCGTTGCGTCCACGGAGGATCACCCCCTTGTGTTGGTTGTTCTTTTTTTTGTTTGTGTGTGGTTGAACTTGAACAATGCTCTGTAAGTGTTAGGTGTGACTTATTTGTTGGGTTACACGCTAAGTTTTTTGTTCTAAGCTTGCTTGGCCTCCCTAGTGGTTTGAAGACGACCATCAACAAACATTGAAACCTAGGGGCCGTACCCTTTTTCAACGGAAAGTCTGTGGCAGGCCGGATGGTAAGTAGTGACTGAGTCAGAAGCCTTTTGCCAGCTATCAAGAGTGCCCTTGCAACATCCAGGACGGCTTTTGCATCCAGTGTTGAAACGGGTCTCAATCCCTCCAAATGGATGTGTAGCCAATTGGCGATTTTAATGGGACAAGTCCTTGGAGCATTGCCGTGGATTCCATAAAGCCAATGTGATGTTAAATGGTTGCTTGGCCAGTTGCCACATCATCAGAACATCAACAAGCCTAGGCACGTTCGATTTCAGAGCAACTCGCCATCCTCATGCTCATAGCCGGTGTTGATGTATTGCTCACCACCTGGCACTTTCTGCCCAAATCAGCCTCGAGCCATTTTGAATAATTTCGCCTGTGACGGAAGGAGCCCTTTGGATTCCCTTGAAAGCTTGTATGGAAGTGACTGCGCCATTTGATGCCCAGTACGTCACACATACTTGAAGGACTTCTTCTCGGCCCGGTCAATATGTGCTTACATCGGCTCTTGGGAAACCCAGCTACAGCACAATCTTTCAGGAACACAGTTTCTTTGGAAGACACTTGGGCAACATGCAACGGCCGTGCTCAATGAGGGCACTTTCGCCTTGCCAGTTGGAGAATGCAGCTCTGGGCTGCGCACAGGCCTGAGACGTTGCCTTGCGATCCGCTGACAGCATGACCCATTCAGGTTGCATACGCTCGAGAAGAGAGGGATCAGTGCATTTGGGCTTTCAGCTTGACCATTGGAGGTCCTTGGTGGTTTCCCGAGTGTTGGTGTGTGTGTGTGTGTGTGTTCGATCTGGCTTCAGAAGCCAGCAGAGGGTTGGAGGTCCTCAGGTGCACGTTTTATCCTGGGAATGGACATGTTGTTGGGTACGGCCCTCAGAAGATAAGGTGCAGTTTCCAGGTCCGGGGGCATTTGGCCAGACAGTGTGCACCGTGCCAAGGATTCCATCCAGCAGGCTCCGAAGGGGCGCATGTACGAGGCAGGCTTGTTGGGCAGTCAGTTTGTTCTCCTCTACGCCCCAGCTGAGGCGCAAGCGCATTGTCTTTGCAGAACCCCCCCCAAGGGCACTTGTGCTGTGACTTATGTTGCTGTGATGCATTCGTGCCAGGCATGCAGACAATTTATTTTATGCCTGCGTGAACTGCGGTGCAACCTCCAAAGGATGTTGCTCATTTCAACATTCCTTCCAGGATTTGTTCCCCATCATTTGTTGTTTGTTGTTGAATCAACTGGTTGGCCAGCGGTTTTCTTCTCATTGGCATGGCAGAAAAGCAGTGTTCTACGTATAGCTTAGGACGAGGCTTCGCCTAAAGAAGGGTCCCCGTTTGGCATGTAGGTCTGCCACAGAGCCCAAACACAAAACCGGAGATCATGATTTGTGCACTGAGACTGAAGACATCTGAAGACCTTGGCGTTGGCTGCAGCTGTTGTGACCAAGGCTGAGGGGCCCCAGACAGATTTTTCCCCCGGAGGCCACCATTATGATCTTCAATGGTGGCCGTTCGGACGTGGGCGGCGAAGAGATGACCACGCACTGGTGCCCGAGAGCCCAATGCAACAGATTCCATCTTTGGATGGAACACGGTACTGACGGGACTCATTTGAAGGGTTCTCTTATGGACTCGCTCGAAAACAGATACCCCGAGAGAGGGAAACGCGGAAATATTCCTACTGGTTCTTGATGAGTTGGTTCATCCGAACTGGGCATTGCTGATTGGGGGTCGTCCTCCAGAGACAATTGCAGTCTGGACATGCTGCACTTCGCCCAAACAGTGCAAGCAAACCAACTGCACACAGCCACGAAAACATGGCAAATAGCAGAATATACTTGAATCACCTTGTTTCAGAATCAACCCAAACAAACTCTGAAACTAAAGAAGCATTGTTGGCGCGAGGCATTTGCGTTACTTGTGGCTACTCTTCACAACTTGCTGACTTGTTGCGTAGGCAATTTTGGGCATCTCTCAACCACCAACCCTTCAACAACCCAAGCCCTGCTCCTTCCGAGGATGGGGAAGGGTTTCAATCCCACCCCTCCCTCCAACGTTTGAGGGCTTTCCCTTGCTTCCCTACATGCTCATGGGTGTTCATTGCCACCTGCCAGATGATTATAATTATGACTATCCCCTGACTCTTTTGGAGGCCAACACAAAAAGTGTTTCAGCTACCCCGCTTTATCTGCGGGGCTTACCAAGTCGTTCCGGATCTGAATATCAAGTTGAAAGCTTCGAAGGCCTGGCCTCGCAGGCTTTTGCGCGCCTCTCAACTGCGCGGACAATGACGCGGCAGCAGTGGCGCCGCCCTCACGGGCGCTGGAAAGCTGGAAACTGCACAGAAAGAAGTAAATAAAAACAGTAAAACGTGCTGAACTTGGAGCCGGGAAAGGTTCCTTCCCTTTTCAAGGCGAGTGAATTATACACACAGCGTTGCTTACTGGTGCGTTGGTTCACTTGACTTTGTTTGCTCGCCAAATTCTTCCAGGTGAGTCCTTCTCAAGATAGGGGACTGCAAAATATATTTGATGCCATGTCTATGCCTTACTTTTGAAAAGGTCCTAGTAGCCTAATGTTGGGACACCCTCCACCCATTCCATCGCATTTTGCCGCTTTGATTTTACAACACTATTTGTCAGTCGCTGCCATCGGCTTCGCTGTATTGCCGTCACCAGTTCAAACATGGACGCTTTGCCACACAGAGCCAAGCTTGCAAGCAGCAAGCGCCTGGGACTGAAGGGCAAACTTCTTCGCAGTTTGGCCTGAAGTCAGTTCACTTCACCACACTTCAGTTCAGCCGAACGGTCTGCCAGGGACACCAGGCTATGGCCAAAGAGCCACATGGTGCCGCCCAGCCCTTGGGGCCGGCTGGGCCCTTGGGGCAGTGGGCGCGCCACTTTGGGGCAGTGGTTGCGCTCGCCATTGTGATAGGACTGTGTCCGGGAGTTGGGCTGGCTGCCGTTGTGTACAATTTTGTTAACCAGGGCAGTGCAGGACTGGTGGACATAGTCACATTCGACATTCGGCATTCAGCACATTTGCTTTTCTCAGCCACCCTGCAGGAGCAATTCTGCGGAAGCCTGAGGAGCCGGGGCTTTGCAGTATGGAGTTGGCTGAGATGACCTCCGTCGCATCTACTGCAAGTTAATCTCAACGTGGCTACCTCTGCTACCGACCTGAATGTTGCAAGTACCGTGTGGTCCTTACGCAATAAATCCCAGCCTGCCCCACTGTGTATCGTTCTGCATTTGTTCAAGGGCGCAGAGTCAGCTATATAGGGTCAAAGAAGCACCGTTTGCCTGCTGTCTCATGCCCTCGGATGTGCTGACCTTGCAAGCTGTTGACCGCTGACTACAGCATCACATGCGCTGCCCAGGACGTTATTCTCGCACAGTTGGTCGCCTCCAGAACGCATATTATGTTGTTTTTGGTCGCTGAGCTGGTCGGGAAGGCTCGCTTGTTGCTTGTCATGTGTTGGGAGATTCGCGACCTCCAAGCATACTAGTAAGGGTCGGCGGAGGTTGACCTCCCAAACTTTATGCAATTGTGGTTGCATGCTCCTTCACTGAGGCTGTTTGTTTGTTCTTTGACGCATCCTTTGCCCTGTGATTGCTGCTCTGAGTGTGTAAAGTTTCGCCCTGCTGCCAAGAACGGCAAGACGCATACACCAACCGACAGGCACCTGTATCGAGTTTGTTTCAAATGTTGCCCATTGCATTCAGCAAGGGGAACGACTCAGCTCTTGGTAGAGACGAGAGGCCTCCGCATAATGTTCTTGGTCTAGTGTGGCTCAACTAGAGGTAACCCTCAAGCCGTACGCTGGTTTGGCCCACACTTTAGCTCACATCCGCTCCAACGTTGCGGGTGGTACTTGGCTGGGGGTCGATCCAGGCGAAACCTATCGAAACCCAAGCAAACCCGAGCTGCGACTCATGTATTGCGGGTTCTTCAAGGGTAACCGAAAGGAAACCGTTCAGAGTGACCAAATCACAAACCCATGTTTCTTGGCGGAGCTAGATCCAGGTGAATAGAAGCCAACCTCCAGTCCTTCGAGTTCCTTCAAAGGGAATTTCTGGATTTGGTTGCAGCATGCCGATGGTACATGCAGCGCATTTTTGCCAGTAATCTGATTGCACTGCCACCACACATGCAGAAGATGTATCTATGCCGTGAATAAATACGTACTGTATGTATGTATATAGAATTTGTTCAGGTTAATGCGCATATTAATAGTGCCTTTTCTTGGAAAGAGAGAGATCGATGGAAGGAGGGAGGGAGGCACTGCAGGGAGCAAAAGCAAAAAGAGGCAGAGGAGGAAGGGGAGAGGGAGAGGGAAGCAAAGGGAAGAGAGAGAGACAGAGGGAGAGGAAGCCCGCACAAAAATGGGTATTGCGTACGTATCCAGATGGGATGTGCTGGGGGTGGAGGGAGCCAAGTTTGGATGGGTTCAAGGTAATTGGCGCCAACTGGAGTTGCACCTGTTGTAAGACACGCATGTGCGTACAGTGGCCGCAATGCTCCATTCGGGACCAATAGTTATCATTAGTCAAGGGCTATGACGCGCTCGTCGCTCCCTTTGCTTTGGCATGCTTTGGCTCTGAATCGGCACGGAGATGTGGAGCCCAACATGGGCGGCTTCTTGCTGGTTTTCCTTTCAGCGACTTCCAACAGGGATAATATTATTTTGTCCATAGGGACCATGGACATGGTCGTTTGAATTCCTCGTTGTTCAGTGACACCCTTTTATCCCTTTTGGCCTCAGTAAGAATCATCAGCCCCAAAGGAAAGTCACGCTTTCTACCTTTCGGCTTTGGGCCATCCGCTGCATCAGGAAAGCGGAAGACCAAAACGGCTCAACGCCTCCCAACTGCCGACAGCCAAAGATTTGTTGTCCTGGACCCCTGCGCCACTCGGCAAGCAAAGAAGATACACCACACTCAGCCAACCACTGCTGTTTTTTTTTTTTTTTTTGAAAAGGGGGAAGAAGGGTACTGTCATTAAATGTGTATTGTTGGTGGGGTATACCTTTTGCAGTCGCACTGAACGGAAATCCAACTAGAAATCGTCCATGTTGGGGTCCACATCTCTATGATTCAAACAATGGGAACCATGAAACGATCACCCTAAATGGTCCTCCATGGCAACTTGTGGTTGACATTAGGCTGCATGGCACAAGGTGTAAGAATGAGGGCTTGGTGAAAGAAAACGAGCTACCCAACCTCCCTTTTCAAGGGGAGTTGGTCTTGGGAAAGCCTTCCTGCCCCACAACCCTGCTCTGGTTGCGCAATTGGGTTTTACAGCCATTGTGATACCAAACGTACTTCAAACACAACCCCAAACAAATCCCTTCAAAGCGGCCAGGGACACCTGTAAACAATTTTGGTCTTTCATTTGCTTCTAAGCCACCGGCGGCATCTCATCCACCTTGATGGGGGCAGTCGGCGTTCAGGGCGGAGTTTAATGGGACGTTTGTCAAAGCCATGGATCACATTCTTAGGCCGCCTTTCAAATGCGCGCCCAACTACTATCAGAGGGCCCAACTAGGAAACGATGTTTGACAGACGACCTGTGGCATATTAAACCACGCCACTGTTCCTTCTTCTGGCAAGATTTCGACAAGATGAGCTGGATGGGGAACGCCACAACCACTTTGGTTTTGTCATGTGCGTTTTTTTTTTAGTGCTGAATTGCTGAAGTACCAGAAAACACCAGCGTTGCACCTCTGAGCCTATGGCGTTTGGGAGGTGTAGTAGCGCAACGTTGATGGGATGTTGGCAAATCATATGGTGTGTAAAGCATCATCGCTCTTTGTTGTTCAGGTAGGCTCCCTGCAGCTGGCTTCAAAAGGCAAAATGGTTGGTGTGGCTTTGGTTTCCCTTCCCAACGAATCAGGTTTGGACCATGAGTTGGGTCACACCTTTCTTTATGGAGGAACAACCCAGCACGCTCCTTTCAAAGCCTTCCAAAGGCATCTCGGCCGAAACAGGCTGAGCCACTTGTCGCAAGAAAGCCGGCGCCGATGAGGTCCGTGGCTGCTGCTGCACCTGTGTTGAAGGATGTTTGGGTCAAGAAGGCTGAGCCAGGCATCACCAGGTTCACGACGCTTGGCAGAGGATGTCGTTCAAGCAGATGAAGAACATCGGAAATGGAACCTGAGACCAATATTACTTAGCTTCCGCTTCGCTTTGTTTTGGGAGGGTATGTGTTTGTTGCCTACTTGCGTTCCTTCCCTGGCATCACGTGTGAATGGTGGGACACGGTGCAGGAAGGATGCAATACTGCTCACTGGATACTATATATATATATGTATATACTGCTTCACATATTTGACACAACTGTTTGGATGCTTTTCGCATCTGTGCTCCGTGCTTGTTGGCAGTTGCTCAGGTATACTTTGTAAATTTGTATGTATTACTTAAGAATTGGCATATTTGTGCGTTCTGCTTCACCGTGAGCTCCCTGCGGCGAGCCGTCCCAACTGTCCCCCGTTTGATTACTGCCACCAACCCTGACTATCTACTGCAATGTAACTCTTGCTAGCACCGAATCATCCAATGGATGCCATTCAGTCTTAACCGCCCCGTCAAGCCTGGCCAAACAATCTAAATCCAGCACAAGAAAGCAAACCACGCAATCCAAGCCATCCCACCTAGGCCATGCACTCCGGCAGTGGCAACCCAACTGCACCCCAGCAATAAAAAAACATATGTGCCTATGCAATCCAACCTTTCCGACCCAAGTCAACCCAACCCAACCCAAGTCAACCCGCAAATCCGGGCACATCTCATCTAAAGTCGTTACGCCAAGGTACTCAGTGCCAAGCCGCACGCTGGGCCCGCTGCTGAAGGCTTCTCGCTCGGATGCGCACGAGGCGGAGACTATGGCCACCCAGGACCTTTTCGATGCCTGCGCCAAGGGGCAGGCGGGGCCCTTCCCTCGGAAACGAGCAACTGAGTATAGGGAAAGAGTGCAGTTTGTAGGTACCTTAATGGTACCTTATACCTTTGCGGCTTGCATTTTAACGTGCTAGCTTCAGCACGAAACATTCGCCAGCTTGTGCCCTTTGCATTGAGAACCCCAAAAAGGCGTCCAATGTAGCGGCGCCACTGCGCAACTGGGCGACGGGATGTTGGCTTGGTGGCTAATCAAGGGGAAGCAATTTGGAACTCGAAGCAGGCTGAGTGCTATTCTAATGCCCAGGAAATGCATGGGAGCACCTTTCTCTTTTGTGACTGGTTTACACCCAACATTCAGGTGATCAACCGAACCACGCTCCCTTGGATTGACACGGGGTGGGTGAG